TTCAGACTAGATATAAGGAAGACATTTTTTACAACGAGGGTGGCGAAACACTGGAATATGTTGCCCAGAGAGGTGGTAGATGCCCCATCCCTGAAAACATTCAAGGTCAGGTTGGATGGGGCTCTGAGCAACCTGACCTAGTTGAAGATGTCCCTGCCCACGGCAGGGGGGGTGGACTAGGTGACCTTTAAAGGTCCCTTCCAACCCAAACTATTCTATGATTCTAAGAAGGTGCTCCGCTCGTCTTTCTGCCTGTGTTCCGCTATACCTTTTGCAAGCATCCATGATTGAGCATTTCTACCCAAGTGTGAAAGATGTCCGATACTTACTATTTTTTACTTTATCATCAGAGATACCATTTAACTTAAACCAAGTTAAACTATAATTGTTCAGCCAACTCTGTCAGTAGTTGCAGGTTTTGCTGCAGAAATAGGAGGTGAAATACTTGGGCTTACAGAAGTGTGATGCATCAAGCTTTTTAATCTACACGATACATCATAGTCTTTTGCTTTAAACTAGGGAAGATGTTTATACATCACTGGCTATATGTCCGTGAAGGTTATAGAGGCTGGTTTTGTTGTATGTTAATTTCAAAGAATTCTTCTCTTCCAGATTCAAGCGGTATGGACAGAGCTGAAGATCCCACAGTTTCCCCTTCTGGTTATTATTATGAAGACCAGTGGAGGTCCAGAACACACTGGATCCATCATTTTAACAAGTCAGATGATATAACCAAGTGCTTACAAGGAAAAGTAATCCACTTGTTTGGAGACTCTACAATAAGGCAGTGGTTTGAATATCTGACAGGATTTGTTCCAGGTTATTTTTTTTTAATTTGGTTTTGTTCTTATAAAGTCTTGCAAAGGTCTTTTTCTCAGACCTCAGACACAGAGTTGATCTTACTGAATGACAATGACAAAACAAAGGAAGAGGAAAGACAAAACATCATCAGAAGTGCTGGCAGAAAGGCAGTTAGTCAAATGTTTGAGCAGACACTGGAAACGTGTAGACCTTGGAAATGGGGCCACAAGGTATCTGCAAAGTTGTCCTTGTAAAATGTTCCACTAATGAAGACCGCTGCTGTGGCTGTGAGTTAAGGTGGCCACCCGGGCGCACGGCAGAAGTCGCTTAGGGCGCCTGCATAAGGCCTTGCAGCATCCCAGTCACACAAGTTGTTTTGGAATGAAGTAGCAAATGACTTCCATTACTGTTGACTGGTTTTGGACCCTTTCTTGTATTTCGCTTATTTTAACTTAAATAACAGAATTTCAGTAGCCAATTAGATATTCCTCCCTCACCCCTTTCCCCTAAAGCAGTAAAGTTGTGTTGGAACACAGACTTTGAGACTCCTTATTGCCTACATCTTGAAGTCGTCTTTAAATTTAATGGAGTCTTAAAGTTGCCATAAGGGTTCCCATGAACACTGGATTCATAGGGCAACAATGACGGAAGGAGTCTATTTAGAAAATTTATTTTTTATGAGAGAGAGAGGAAAATAGTTTGGGAAAACTCGGAAAAGGCATTGACAGCCTTGTGAAGTTGAAGTGTGCTGTCTTGCAAATTTCAAGACCTGTAAACACTTGGAAATATGCAGCTAGCACATGTATGACACTCATCTTCTGTTTCATTTTAGAGTTCTTAGAATTACGTTCGGATTTCCTTATCTACTGCTACTTTTGCCCTGTAGTCCTAGCATCTTGTTGATAGTTTTAATCTCTTACGCCGTCTTTCACTAATGCTTGCTCTTGGGTTTTCAGATCTAGTGGAATTTAACCTGGGGAGTCCTAAGAACGTGGGCCCTTTCATGTCTGTGGACCTGAAGCACAATATCCTACTGAAGTTCCGCTGTCATGGGCCACCCATTCGGTTTTCAACAGTCTTTAGCAGTGAACTGCACTACATTGCCAACGAACTGAATGGCATAGTGGGTGGGAGAAACACGGTGATAGCCATAACTATATGGTCCCACTTCAGCACTTTCCCTGTGGAAGTGTATATCCGGCGGCTGAGGAACATTCGGAGATCAATTATTCAACTGCTAGATCGCAGCCCCAAGACTTTAATCATCATCAGAACCGCTAACGTTCAGGAGCTTGGGCCAGAAGTGAGCCTCTTCAACAGTGACTGGTATTCCTTTCAGCTTGATTCTGTCATGAGGAAAATGTTCTCAGGAATTGCTGTGCACTTTGTGGATGCTTGGGAGATGTCTCTGGCTCATTACTTGCCACATAACTTGCACCCAAAAGAAGTTATTGTTAAGAATCAAATAGATGTGTTCTTATCTTACGTGTGCCCTCTGCAAACTTAGCACAAGTGGGTGTCCCTATGTGATCTTTTGCTATAGCTGAAGTAAAGTTGCTCTTTGTTGGAGCAATCAGATTATGCTGGATGGTATGGAAGAACTCTGGTTATTGTGCAAGTATAAACGAGGTGACTTTAACTCTGGGTAGCTGTGAAGGGTGGTAAAGAGGAGTTGACTGTTCAGGCCATCTCCTCCTGCAAGGTTGATTCCTTTCAACCTTATCATTCGTATCTGAGATTATTAGAGAGCACCTTAAATTAAATTGCCAAGATTCAATAAGAAATTATGTGGGTTATTAGCTTTACTAGTTGTCTGCACTGTATGCTTAATTTGATTCATATGACACTGATTCGGATGCCAGGGTCTTGCTGCTCAGAACTGTGTGTGAAACCTGGGAAGGATTTTTGGGAGTGGTCTTTCTCTCAATGTTCCAGAGTTTGAGGGACATCCCCTCCAGTTGTATGTCAGAGAAGCACAGTGTCTGTTCTTGTTTCAAAGTCCTAATTAGAAATATGAAGGGAGTGTACCAAAATCACTAATATCAATCAAGGAAGCACAGTCAGAATATCTATAGTATTAAGTCATCAAGAATTTGCTGAAATTTAATAGAGCACACTAGTTAGGCACCCTTGGTGTTTACAGATGGCTGCTAAATAATGCAAATAGCCAGTATTTTAGTTTGGTTTCCTGTACTACTGAATCTCTTCTGAGCTTTGATACACTGCTACTTCTTGATTTATCTGTAATGGAGAAATGTGTATATTATGACCTCAGTGAAGACACTGTCTCAGGCAGTTTCTGCAAGTTCAAGTTGCAGGCTCGCCTACTTGAAGCTTGAAACATTTACTAATGAAAGTGTTTCCCTTCCCTGTAAGAGAAAGCTATTCCGTTATGCTCCTGCAAAGCTGGGCTTCTGGTAATTACTTTTGTACGTCATTCATACATTGTGTCTGTATGGAGAAGCCAAGTGACCTGAATGCACTTGATGATGTTTGGCAATGGGTAGCAGTAACTGGCACACACTAGTGTCAAGGCCATGCAACGATGCCCCTTCTGTGTTTGCCAGTTTTATCATTTATTCATGAGCTTCACTGCTGCCAATATAAAAGGTCAAAAAACTCACACCCAAAAGCCAAACACACACAGGGTTGCCCTTCATACAGATGCTTGGTAAATATTTGCAGTTTTGCTGGTGTGAAAGCTGATGGCTCATGGGCTTCTTGGAGTTGTGTTTTCGGCCGCTAATTTGATTGAGCCCATGTATAGTTTTAACTAGTAGCGCTTTGAAAACAAAGTTTTGATTAAATTCAGCCCCCAAATTAAACAGCAGAGAAGTGTTCCATGTTGTCTTATTTCTGGTCCCACTCAGGCTAAAGGTAGTGTTTACCAGTAATTCCATTACTGAGGAATGTATCCAAACAGTAGTGGAGTGCTTCTGAAGCAGCTCATCGTGCTTGAGGAGAGTATGAAAGTTGAGTCTTTGTGAGCAAACTGAGAAGATTAATAAGACAAATTGGTAGGTTGCACAGAGTGGAATAATTGAAATGTCTTCATATTAGAGATGTTTTACTCTTTGCCAGGTTTGCTGCTATGTTAGGAAGATTATGCTCTTATTGCTGGAGCCCCAAGAGAGCCAATGTTACCAGCTATAAGAACAGTGGGTTTTGTTTTGTTCATTTTAAAGGACAACTAAGAACTGTTTTAAAAACAAATGTAGATGCTTTTAGCACGTAAAAGTCATCAGTAGCATCCATCTATAAACTTAACAATTTAAAAATCTTTGAAAATGAGGAGTTGCATACACTGAAATACCATTTACCCTTAGCTTTTCAAATCAGGATTAAGGAGGTTCGGTTTGCTAGTTCCTCCTGACAACTGCCTCGCATAGTATCTGTCCATACATTAGCTTTAGGTAACTATTTCTTACTTTAATATGTTAATGGAAATGTGCCCTCTGCTAAAAAGAGACCACACCAATTCAGGTCTGGGAAGGTAAACCACCACAATGCAAAATGACCTTTCATCTTTTCCAGGTGTGTTTTTAAAAATAGGTAGAGTATAAGGCTTTCATCCTGAATAACAAATCTATCCAAATAAGGTTAATGAAAATAAGACTTCAAACTTTTACTTTGAAGGAAACTACTTAATTTGTGGAATAACTATTTGGCTTTCTTCATAAAGCCATATCGTGTGAAAGTGTTGTGGTGGCATGTTTCTTGTGCTCGCCACTGCTCTTCAACAGCAACTTTACATCGCTGTTAGCTACTAAGAATAGATAGAGAGGAAAAAATTTTTTTGAATGTTTTGACAATTGAGGGCAAGAGAACAGGACTGCTATTAGCAAAGATGTCTAATCACCCTCTGGTAGAACCTCTCCCTTTTAGATTAATTAGATTAATTTTTTAATAACAGATTAACTTTTAGGTCATGAACTTGAGGGAAATTGCCAGTTAATTTGGAATGAGGACCAATATTTCATTTCTTTGGGCTCTGGAGTAGACAGGGAGGAGAAAGGGAGAAACTGGGGAGTTACTCGTTTTAAGATTAAGACTGGGGACACTATGCTTCTATATGTCATTCAGTTGAACTATAAATGAGTTCTCATTTCTGTTCTTGTCTTGTTACCAGTTGCACCAGTTGTGTATGTATTGTATATAGAAACATAGAAGAAATAAAATATTTTTAAATCAGTTTCTTTAAACCGTTAAGCTTCTAAATGGATTCTATTCCATTTCTAATGGGGACTTAGGTTAAGAAGTTGGTTATTTTTCAAGTTACTTAATATGAAACAGGATTGGAAAGGAATTTCTCAGTTAAGTATCTTCCTTTACACGTAGACGTATATTTCTCTTATTTCACGAGATTTTTCAAAGCCCTGTCTTCCTTTTCTTTCCATTTTATTCACTTGAAGGGAAGAAATTGTATTGGTTTTGATATTTTTGTTCCTGTCCTGAGCCTTTTGATTATTAACCTTTCAATACAGAGATTTTTTTCTTTTAAATTTATTTATTCAAAATCCAGCTCACTCAAATTCCAGTGAAAAATAATGTATTTTTATGGTGTTTATCAGAAGATTTAAGAGCAATTTTTATTTATAAAATAAGTAAACGCCCTTTTATAGGGATCCACAATGATTTTTCTGCTCCTGAGAATCTTGTTTCTCATATATACCATGTTAGGCTGATTTCTTCATTCTAGAAATTTAGTGAAAACATTAATTGAATTGTTGATGAAAATGAGGATAAACAGCAGAAGCTTCCATTACTTTTTTTCAAGTTTTCATTTGCTTCTAATTTCATTTGCTATGCAGCGCTATTGCAGTTCTCCTTTACAAGATTCAAATTATCATTTTTCATTGTTTTACTTGTTAGAGGTAAGCATTTAAAAAATGGGAACTTTGTTTACTAGAAGGGTCTGTATGACCTTTTTATGTATTACAGGTGAAACTTCCGTGTATATGTGACGAAAACGAAGATTTGAAGTAATCTGCTGGGAAGGGTAAGGGTACTGGGATTTTGCTTCGTTTTCGTTGCAGAAGTGTGGGTTAAAACATCGTTCCACTCATGATAGTTTAAGTAACAGCAAAATACTTCAATCGCAAATGCGTATTTAATTTATAAAGCCTTTACTTGTTAAGTCCAGATCACTTCTTCGTGCTTAGTTTCCACTCGTACATTTAGACTGTTTGGAAGACTTTTGTTATCTGTTGGTAGCAGCAAAGGACTTGCATCTGTCTGTTAGAAAAAGAACTTGTTTTCAAAGGGTTTTTTTCTATTCTGTGTATATTATTGAAATGTCTACAATACAAAGAAGGCTCTAATGTCTCAAAGAATAAGAAGTTCCTAATAAAGAGGGCAGATTTACTTAAACTGTTTCATCTGATTTAGGTCTCAGTCTATCTTGTTTGCTGTAACACCACATACTTTCTATTTTTATAGTTGCATAGTAGTTCCCTTAGTTTTACCTGTTACATTTTTTGTGCTGTGTGTTGGGTAGAAGTTTCACACTACGATTTATAGATTAAAATCACTTCCAAAAGTGATTTTTTTTTTTTTTTTTTTTTTTCCCCCTGATGATGTGTATTTGGAGGGGAGTGATCTGTGTAAGCAGCACAAGCCTGGCATGAGACCTAGTGCTGAAGCACACTGATGTTTCCTGTTGTCGGTGTATCAGGACTGACACATAATAAAAGCTTGTACATAATCTAGGCTTCCTTCTTTGAGGGCTTTGCAACCCAACTGGCCAACAGGAAATCCTTGAGCCACTTCATTTTAAAAAAGCAGCGTGAAGAACAGAGATGCAGTGCGGTCATTGCTTGTCTAGCTTATGAACAGTTTTTACTTTAAGTAATGGAAGAAAAATCAAGGAGAGATCTGTTCTGTAGTGCGTCAGTCGCTGCCTGGCTGTGTGCCCGCCGCCCTGTGAGCCTGAGAGCTGTGTTTGCAGGGTCATGGGGAGAGGGAGAGAGCAGCCGCACAGCACAGACCGGGGAGCCTCTGGGATGGCTGGGGGGCCAGGGTGGAGGAGTTGGGGGACAGCTCCAGGGTTGCCTTGGAGTTAGGTTGCGTCCAGGATTCACAGCTGGGAAAGAAGTAAGCAGCATGCATTGCCCTGTGTGCTGATTTCCTGTACATATAGCCAAAAATAGCCTGTTTGACTCAGAAAAATCCCTGAACTAGGAATTCCTGGAAACTAGAAGAGAGTACACTGAGGCAGTATGGCTAAGTGTTTGCTCTGTTTTTCTACTTCCGCGCTCATTCGATGGTGACCGCTGAAGGAGGCAGGGTAGGGGGCAATGGCCGGTGGTGTGATCTAGGGTGCTGCTCTTAGGTACCCCCAAAACAAAGAGCTGAGTTCATGCTCCAACCTGCTCTCGTCAATGCCACCTGGCAGCCACTAGGTAACAGGGCAAAGGCAAAGTACCTTATTCCCAGCATTTTGCTCTGGAAACAGAAAGTGAAGTGCATGGCCATTCTGCCCCACCTATGTCAGCCTTCAGTTAGCCA